GGAAGCAAAGTACGGCAATGCAGTGTACTGAGCACCAAGGCGCAGGAGCCGTGGTCCTCGCCAATAGTTGTATGTCGTCTTGACAATCGTGCCATCGATGCCGTGATCCAGCGCACGTCGTCGCAATAAATCTAGGTCGAACGATTCATAGTACTTAGTCCCATCCCATATGAATCCTCCCGTAACCTTATCCTCGTGGTGGGCATCTTCTGCCCGCGCCGCTTGATGCCACACAGCATCCTCAGCGCTTCTACCTGGTCCGAACGCCCAGTATTTGCGAGGGTACCTATATTTGCAATCAACAACCGCAGGGCGCCTCAGCCTCTCCCAGACCCGCGCGGGTCCAGCACGCAGCAAAATGGGTCTAAGCCCGCCCGTGGGTTTCTCGAGCAGGGGAAACAAAAGCCAGAACAACTGCTGGGGGAAAAAGCCCAGGGACTCAATCGCTTGGGTAAGCACGCCGAAGGTTTCAAGGGGCGCGTCCGAGCCGAGGCTGAAATGGCGCGGATGAAATCCGCCCAGGGATTGAGACGTGTGGCAACTGAAAGAACTCGACGCGCTCCGCAGCTCAGCCACACTAGGCCGAGGCAAGTGAACTCGGTCGGGCACGCAAGCTTCGGGTGGCACATGAGACGCATGCCGGAACTTAGCCAGCTCCCCACCCTCACGTCGAAGGAGGTGCTGCGGATTACTAGAAAACACGCCAGGGTGGGTCTGAACGACCGTGGGATTCCACTTCGATTTAAACTTGGTGAGCCCACGCATGGCCCTAGCGCCCCCCTCCAAAGCCTGCTCCTGCCATTGGTCCCAGCTGTCCTGCTGCCGCTGATCAATGGACTTCTTGGCCGAGAGGAGCTCGTCCTCCCACGAACTTAAAAACTCCTGGCACTCGTCGCACCAGCTACTCCAGGGGCCTGACGAGGGAAACCTGCTCGCCAAAACTCCGAGCTTGCCGCAGGGTCGAATCGAGGCGAATGCTCGCTCCTTCGCCTGGACACGGGAGGCCGAGAAGTTGCTGTATTTGGAGGTGCGCGTCTTCCATCAAATTGTCACGAACGGTGATTTCATCCAATCCCTCGGGCTCCTCAGCAGCCTTCTCGGCCGCCTGATGCAGCCTCGCAGAGGCCCCGAGCGTTTCTTTAAGATGCTGGGCCAACCGCAACCAACCCCGAGAAACAGACAGAGCTTCAATCGACCGAGCCTTGGCAAAAATCGGGACCCACTTTGGTTTAAGATACTCTCCTCGAAAACCTTTGCACCTCACCGTCTCCCCCGTATAGCTTTCGAGCTCGAGCTCGAAGGCGTCGGCAAAGTGCTGCCACGCGATCGAGAGCAGGGCCCGCGCCTGCCCAACAGGGGCCTCGAGAGCAGCTTCGGCGGCCGCTTCAGCCACCGAACGAACAAGTCTCCAGTCCTGTGGCTTGGGCAAGGGTCCTACAGGCAGACGTGTGGGCAAACGCTGGTGGGCTCGGTAATGGAGCTGGTAGCATCTTATGGCGTCGGGTTTCAGCCTGAGGACCACGGGCCGATGGGGCCGATGGGTCCAGTCGAGGACCGCCTGAACACCGTCACTGGCCTTAGCGAGGCCAGAGCTAAGCAGAAAGTAATGGATCGTGGTCAAGCTATTAGGGGAGAGACACGTTTTTTTGACCAGGAACGAACGAAGCCCCCCCCGTCCGATAACCCACGCCAGACGCGTCCACACGCATGGGGTCTAAGTTCCAGTCGCGCCCGACAAGAAACATGTGCCCCCTTGCAGGCGTTCACCCATAAGACGGGGCAACTGGACGTTGATCTTGCACATGCCCGCCCCGCTCTTGAGGTAACCACTAACGACCTGCAAGGGGGGGCATCCTGGCATGTCAACAACAACATGGATCAGGCGCCCAGGAAACAGGATTCCCTTGCGATCCGCTGGCCAGCGCAGGCCAGGGTGCGAGCGAACAAACACCGCCACCCCCGCCCTGGTTCGGTTACCCTCACCAGGGAGGGATGGGGAGGAAAGCATTTTCCACCCGGGAGCCCCCGCAGCACTAGCTTTTCACCCTCTCGCTCCCCGAGGAAGCCCACCCCCTGCGCCAGCGGGGTACTTGCCGAAGAAATGCGCAATCGCTCTCGTAGAGTGGATCAGCAGTTGCCGTTATACGTTTCGAAGCAGCTGCCCTGGCCAACAAGCTCGGAGGGCGAGCGCGACGAGGCAGGGGGGGGGGGGGGGGCGGAGGTGGAGCAGGAACTCCGAATTTAGAAAGCTTGAGTCCGCAGCACAGCGGCAGACTCTGGCTAAATTCGTGGCTTGACGCGGCGCAGTTGGCTGCCAAACCGCCCAGAAAAAAAAGTGGCCTTATCAAATCCCTCCTCCCTGGCGGCTTGGATGATGTCGCCGATGGTGGTGTCATCGAGGTCATCCAGGTCCATGTCGTCGGGCACTCGTACGTTGGCCGCGCCAGGGTCGCCGCTGCCGCTGCTGTCATCAGGCTCAGCAGGTGGGCGAGAGGGCGCGCGATCGTCACCAGGTTGAGTCGAGAATGGTGATGTCGCCGCCGCGGGTTTGGGCGCCTCTCGCGCCCTGAGACTCTCTCCAAAATCCTCTGCAAACACCTTGAACGTTTCGGACTGCATGAAAGCCTTGAGCGCTTCAGCCTGAGGGCGTTGATCCAATACTGCCTGATCGACCTCCAGATTGACTTTGGGAGCCATCGGTAGAGCGTCGACCAGCTCGCGGTTGAGTTACGTAATCTCTTCATCAGCTGCTTTGACTTGAGCACGGAGAGTGTCGACTCGTTCTTCGGCTGCACGAATAACCTCCAACTGTTTCGTGATTGTCTGCTCGAGCTTCTGCCTGCGCGTCTTCGCGCGAGACAGCCGATGCCCAATATTCGTACGCTGAGTGAATTCTGGTTTCGTAGCCGCCAATGACTTGCGTGCATCCGCCAGCTGCCTCTCCAGCGACTCACATGCTTCTTTACCAACTTCGCCAGGCAGTGACTTGCACGATGAAGTCGAGCTCTCCAGCTGCTTGATCTTCTCCTTGAGCTTGTCGGCCTCGGTGAGTTGCTTAGCTTCGGACTGTGGCGCAGGAGGTGTTGGGCTGGACCCATTCCCCTTGGACGCCACCATCGCATCGAACCTCTTCTGCAGCGCGTCGAGTTTCTGCTGGAGCGGGTCCTGTTCAGCCTGCGTACGACGACGAGGAGGGCGTTCACGCTCAGCAGTAGAAGCACGCTCACAAACACGACGAGCCACGTCAGGTGGTGCACGTTCTCCGCACTGACATACGATGCGGCTTGCCCAACTAGAATTTCTCCCGCATGCGCTGCAAGCCCATGTGGAGAGGCGGGGGCCCGCCAGAACGTCTCCAGCTCCCCCTCCGCCATTGGCCATGGATATCCCAGCTGCTGGGCAGGATAGCTTGCCTCCTCGGAGGCCCGAAAGACTGTAGCCAAAAAGGCACGCAGCAGCGACTGCCGCTCTGAAGACTGCTGCTGCAAGCCCAACAACACTTGGGCCAGAACGGCTCTTGAGCCAAAATGGATACGGAGCAGCAGAGGTAAAGGGACGGGTCCAGAGAAGGAGAAGCGCGGCTGGGAAACCCTGAGAAAGAACAGATGCAGCCGGGCCAGGGGTGGGGGCACGGCCATGTGCAACTTGGTGCATTTGTTTACAGCTCCCTACGGGGCCACGAAACGTGTGAGGGGTGTGCCGAAATGGGCGGGGAACCGCGTGCGGACCCTGCCACTGGGGCCTTCGGTGGAGCTCCCTTCGGGGCCACGAAACGTGTGGGGGTATGCCGAAATGGGCGGGGAACCGCAGGCGGACCCTGCCACTGTCGGTAGAGCTCCTTACGGGGCCACGAAAAATGTGACGGGTGTGCCGGAATGGGCGGGGAACAGCATGCGGACCCTGCCACTGGGGGCTTCGGTAGGGCTCCCTACGGGGCCACGAAACGTGTGAGGGGTGTGCCGGAATGGGCGGGGAACCGCATGCGGACCCTGCCACTGTCGGTGGAGCTCCCTACGGGGGCACGAAAAATGTAACGGGTGTGCCGAAACGGGCGGGGAACAGCATGCGGACCCTGCCACTGGGGGCTTCGGTGGGGGGCCACGAAGCGTGGAGGGGTGTGCCGAAATGGGCGGGGAACCGCATGCGGACCCTGCCACTGGGGGCTTCAGTGGAGCTCCCTACGGGGCCACGAAAAGTGTGAGGGGAGTACCGACGTTTGCGGGGAACAGCATGCGGACCCTGCCACTGGGGGCTTCGGTGGAGCTCCCTACGGGGCCACGAAGCGTGTGAGGGGTGTAGCGAAATGGACGGGGAAAAGCATGCGGACCCTGCCACTGGGGCCTTCGGTGGAGCTCCCGATGGAGCCACGGAGCGTGTGAGTGGTGTGCCAAAGTGAGGGGCGGGACGGGAGGAGGGGGGAGGGAGGGAAGGAGGGGGGCAGCGGGAGGAGGAACGCGTGGACCGTCTCTGCAAAACGAGGACCCAACACCACAAGATGGTTGGGAAAAGCTGCGAGGAAGTCTGAGGCGAAACGGCTGCCGGACCGGGTGTCCTGGGCCCCCCCCGTCCCCACCGTAGGACTCTGCTGTGGCAACTGTTGGACCAACGTAAGCGCCCTCTGACGAAACACTAGACGAGAAAAGCATGAAACCTCCGAAGCAATGCTGTCGAAGATTTCGGACAGGAGAGCCCTGAATCGAATCGGTAAGTCGGATCGGCGATCGAAATGAATCGGATCGGCGGAAATCGGCAGCCGACTCGGGAAAAGTCGAATCGGCGGAAATCGGCAGGCTAGCAGGCCTCCATGGAGAAATCGGTTCCCGCATCGAACTCCGAAGTCGAATCGGGTCGGAATCAGGATTCATCGAAATCGGAACGAAGTGAATCGGAGGAGTCGAAATGAGTCCTGTCTCGGGGCAGCGTCGAGGGTTGGAAGGCCCTCTGGGGGTCCGCGCGCCCCCCCTCGCCTCGCCCCTCGCCCCATCGCCGGGCGGCGGGACCATCCGGGCACCCTCCCCGACGTAGCGCTGGACGAGCTCGGAGCCGATGACGCAGATGAAGCACGCGTCGGTGCGGTTGGCCACCGCCCGCGCCGTCAGCGTCTTGCCCGTGCCCGGGGGGCCGTAGAGCAAAACACCTCGCGGGCGCCAGTCCGGCCCGGCGGACTGGCCCTGATCCCCGGCCTGCCTGACCCCCCGCCCCCCTTCTCCCGACCTGGTCATATTCCCTCGTCCTCATCCCCCCTGTTCCTCTATTCCCTCATGGTGCGCCTCCCCGGTCGGTCATTCGGCCTGTCGAAGCACGCAGGCAGAGCAGGGCGCGTTGGCAGAGCAGGACGAGAGCAAGGGGAGGACGAGCAAGAGCTAACGAAAGAAATCTTCACCAAATGTTTACTCTTACTCATCCTTCAGCTCCTTCCTCCTCCAGCCTCCTCTCGTCTCCCTTCTCCTCCCTTCTCCCCAGACCACCGACGTCACATTATGTTTGACGTGGAACTCGGGGGTTCTTAAGATTGTCCCTGTGGCCTGTTTCTCATTCCGACAAGTTATCTGACGGTCTAGGGGCCAAACAAACGACATCAACATGAACATCAACTTTTGGAGCTACGCGCCGATCCCTTGGACCAGCGCTGGGCCCCCCTGGCGGCGCCTTCGCGCGCCAGGTAGGGGGCTCTAGCGCCGATGCCGGAAATCCGCGTGGAGCTCCAGAAGTTGATAATAACACTGAGCCCCGCTGCCTGGGGACGATTCGATGAAGCTGGGTTCCTCCTCATCTTGCGCTCATGTTGCTCTTCCTCCTCCTCCACCTCCTCTGCTCCTCCTCCTCCTCCTTCCTCCTCCTCCCTCCTCCTTCTCCCTCTCCTCCTCCTCCTCCTCCTCCTCCCGTTTCAGTGGATATAGCCTCTTCTTTCTTTTTCCCCTCCTCCTCCTCCTCCTCCTCCTGGTCTTCTCCTCCTCCTCCCGAGACGCTGAGACGCTGATGGCAACGGTGTACGTCGAACGCTGCCGCTCCTCCTCCTCCTCCCCCTCCTCCTCCTCCTCCTCCTCCTCCTCCTCCTCCTCCTCCTCCTCCTCCTCTCATCCTCATCCCTCATCCTCATCTCATCCTCATCCTCATCCTCATCCTCATCCTCCATCCTCATCCTCCTCATCCTCATCCTCATCCTCATCCTCATCCTCATCCTCATCATCTCATCATCATCATCATCATCATCATCATCATCATCATCATATCATCATCATATCATATCATACCATACCATATCATATCATCATCATCAGCATCATCATCATCATCATCATCATCATCATCATCATTCATCCTCATCCTCTCCTCATCCTCATCTCATCCTCATCCTCATCATCATCATCATCATCATCATCATCATCATCATCATCATCATCATCCTCATCCTCATCCTCATCCTCATCATCATCATCATCATCATCATCATCATCATCATCATCATCATCATTTTCATCATCATCATCATCATCATCCTCGCGCTGAGCTGGCATGACTTGCTGCAGGCCGCTGGGCAGTCGGCGGCGCGCACAAAACGGGGGTGGCGCGAGGGCGGGGGCGGCCTTCCCAGAAAGCGGGCGGCCTTCCGAGAAAGGCGGTGGCTTCCTTGGGAGCGCATGCATGCTCTAAAAATGATGGGCCTGTTTTCTACGACCGCCACCATAAGTTGGAGGGGGAAGGAGGTCCTCCTCCTCCTCCTCCTCGTTCCCCCCTCCAACTTATGGTGGTGGTGGTGGTGGAAAACAGGCCCGTCATGAGAAGCCAGGAAAAGTGCCGCCCGCCTCTTTTGGGGAAGGCGTAAGACTCGCGTTCGGGGGACTCGGGTTGGCCTGACGGGGCCATCATGAAAATGGCGGGACCCAGTCTGAAACTTGACGCGAGCTCCCGCTGCAAACATCCCACGAAACCTGGACGGTCAAATTCCGGGACGCGCTCGCCCAAATCACGTCGGTAAACCCGAGTTCCGGAGCACTCGAGTCTTACGCTCCCCGATCCTTGGAGGCCTTCTCTGACAAACCAACAACGCACACCCATACCCATAGGGGGATCGGAGAGGGCTATGGGTGCGTGCTGTCGGATGGGGGTCCCCGCTCGAACGGGAGCGTTCCCCAGGGTCCGACAACCCGCACCCATACCCATAGCCAGTCCTCCTCCCAACGACCTCCCTATGTGTATGGGTGTGTGTTGTTCGCTCGTCATTCTCCGAGGCACTCTCAGCGCAAACGTGACGTTCTGCTGCCCTCCCCGGCTCCTCCGAAGGCCCCCGCCTGCAGCGGAGGCCCCGCCCCTCGCGCCACCCCCCTCTGCGCGCGCCGCCCGTCTCTGTGGAGCGAGCCAGGGCCTCCGGCCACAGTCGAGCCACTGGACTGGGACTGGGCCAGGAGGAGGAGGGAGGAGGAGGAGGAGGAGGAAGAGGAGGAGGGGGAGGAGGAGGAGGAGGAGGAGGAGGAGGAGGAGGAGGAGGAGGAAGAGGAGGAGGGGGAGAACAACGGACGGTCTTTTCTGCCGAGTCGGCTCACGTAGCTGGTTTTTCCAGCGCCTCCTTGACGAGCGAACAGCACACACCCATACCCATAGGGGGGTCGTTGGGGGGAGGGCTGGCTATGGGTATGGGTGCGGGTTGTCGGACCCTGGGGAACGCTCCCGTTCGAGCGGGGACCCCCGTCCGACAACACGCACCCATAGCCCTCTCCGACCCCCCCATGGGTATGGGTGTGTGTTGTTGGTTCGTCACTTCCTGGCGCCAGTGCGTTGAGGAAAGCGCTCAGCGGCGGGGCCGAGATCAGCTGCACTCAGCAGATGCCGTACCCCGCCCGTTCCCGATCCCCACCTTTCGCCCGGCCCGATGCTACCACTAGGAACGCGGATAAGGAACGAGTTCCCTTGTTGTTGGCCCCCGCCCGCGCCTCGGTGCACGAGGGGCGCTGGAGGGAGGAACAACCATGGAAGGACCTCATGAAAAGCGAGCCCCCTCCGAACCCAACGCGGTCATGATCTCAGCGTCCTGACTGCAAGGCCTCTGGGCCGACAGCATGAAAGACAACGGGTCCTGCAGACCTCGACTTGCAGCCTTTTCCGTGCACCTCTTGTTTTCGCTCCCCCGTTCCATTCGCTACAACAGTGCACCCGTTTAGTTAGCTCTTCCGCCAGCGCAGTTACCCTGCCCAGCCGCTGACGCTAAAAGTGTTCGTTCGCCCTCGCTCTCTCGTCCTTCCGCCCCTTGCTGCAGACACAATGGACAAAAAGGACCAAAAGGCCCACGACATCGCGAACAAACACCTTTCGGCTCGCGCCCCGGGGCCTATAAACAGAGCGTCGCCGCTTTGATTGAGCAGGGACCGACCGTCGCGGCATTCCCATCGGCCTACCACGACATGTTCTCAGAACCCACCCATGCTCTGAAAACAACCAATGTTTTCAGTGCACATTCCCGCTGTGTTAAAACTAGACGGTCCCAGCCGGAAAAGGTTATGACGCAGACCACAAAAAGTTGAGGGCGTGCCGCTGGATCACCCAAACGGGGGGGGGGGGGACCCCCCCCCTTTCCCCGATCCATCGTCGGCGGACGACCCCCCCCCTTTTCCCGATCCGTCGCCGGCGGACCCTTCCCCCCCCGTTTTCAAAAGGGGGGGAGTCCGACCCCCCCGCCCGCCTTGAGCGTGAAATTCGGACCCCCCCCTCCCCCCCTTTCGCCACGCCACCCCCTGGCTCCGGAATCCGATCCCTGCCGCACCTAACCCTCAACCGGATCCCTGCCCTAGCCCCTAACCCCTAACCCACCCCCCAACTCCTAACCCGAACCCTACCCTACGCCTAACCGTAACCTCTCCACCCAAAACCCAACCCGAACCCCGTATTCAAACCCGAATCCCCGCCCTGACCTCCACCCTAAGTCTCTAACCCTTTAATTATTAAACCCTGACTACTACAAAAGCGGTCGTTATGCAAACCCGCTCCATCTACTGCAAAAAACTGCATTTTCTGAGCATGCGTGCAGAATCTCCTGTATTTTACACGACAAAGTGCCCAGTCCCCGTTGCGACCCGGCCCCATCTACTCCAAAAAAAAACATTTTCTGAGCATGCGTGCAGAATCTCTTGCATTTTACATTACAAAGTGCCCGACCCCTGTTGCGACCCCGCTCCATTTCCTGCAAAAATAACATTTTCTGAGCATGCGTGCAGAATCTCCAGCATTTTACACTGCAAACTGCCCAACCCCCGTTGCGACCCCGCTCCATCTACTGCAAAAAGTAGCATTCACTGAGCATGCGTGCAGAATCCCCAGTATTTTATATTGCAAAATGCCCAGCCCCCGTGGCGACCCCGCTCCATGTACTACTCACGTGCCAAGTGGATCGCACATCCGTCGTCGCCGCCGTCGTCGTCGTCGTCGTCGACGTTGTCTTCGATGTGGTTATAACCAGGGGAGAGATGATCTTTATGGTGGGGTGGCTTGCAGGTGGGAATGACGGCCACCGCAGGTAGGTTCGCGGTCCAGGTGTACTCGTGGCCACGCCTGGTAGACCCTAACCCTAAACCGTAAACCCTACCCAAAACCTTACCCGAACACTAACCCCTCTGATCCTAACCCCGACCCATATAATTATTTGTTATGATTAAACACCCCCACATCTCCACCTAGTCGGCCGATAGCAACCCCGCCGTCCGAACTGTTGAAAAACAACACAAACTAATTTTTGTTCTCGCCAGCATGTCGTCGAGTTGCGAAACGTGTAGCACGAACGATGCGAAATTAACATCGCCTGGGTAACCCTAAGCGGGTGGTCGCGTCCTACCGATCACAAGCAATACACAGCCAACGTTTTTTTCGACAACATGGACTTTCCAATCGTCGACGCAGCGAACATTGTAGCAGGAACGGGACGCGGCGCACATCTCGCGCGGCCGCCTGGCCAACCTTACGCGGGATCCCCGTCCTACCTGCCAAATAAACACCGCCGCGTCGAAGCTTTTCTTGCCAATATGTACTTTCTCCTCGTCGGCGCTGCGAGTCGCGTAGCGGGAATGGGACGCCCCGCGAACTCCCAAGAAGCATTCTCTTGTTCCTTCTCAGCTTCTCGTTCCCTCCCTCTCTCCCTCCCCTCCTCCTCCTCCTCCTCCTCCTCCTCCTCCTCCTCCCCCTCTTCCGTGCGCGGTTGGAGCGAAACGATTGGCTGTGCAGCACGCGTGGCTGGAATGAGACGCGGCGCGCCTCGCGCGCTGGACATGTTGTCGCCGACTATGCAGCATGGGGGGCCGGAGCGGGGCGCGGCGCACATCGCGCGCGGTTTTGTTTCTCGTCGACGTTGCTCAATGCGCGGCAGGAGCAGGACGCAGCTCATGTCGCGCGCTGAACGTCTAGCCGCCCGCGATATAAGATGAGCGACAGGCGTCGGACGCGACGCACTTGCTTCCTATGTTGCGGGGCGGCGGGTGGGAGTGGACGGAGCCCTCTGGCTCTTTCGAGCTGGTTAACTGGACCCTAACCCTAACCCCTGACCCCAACCAACCCTAAGACCGAACCCGAACCCCTACCCCTACTCAAACCCCCAACCCAGACCCGAATCCGAACCCTAACCCTAAACCCAAATCCAACCCCTCAGCCCTGACCCTAACCCCCAACCCTGCCCTAACCCCTACTCGAACACCGAACCCCTACCGTAAAACGTAACCCTAAACTAACCCCATACCCCCTACCCCCGCCCCTAACCCTAACCCCAACCCTATGCCATAACCCTAGCCCCTCAACTCTACCCTAACCTCTAACAGTAACCCGAATCACAAATCTTAACCCTAAGCCCTAACCCTACCCCCTCAATCACTGTTCCCTATTAATATACCCCCTCCCCCAGGCGACTGGCAGCCAACCAGGAACAATGCGAGCATCCCCCCCACCATCTCTTGTAAAAAACAATGCGCAACACACTTTGCCTCCACATTGTGAACATGCCCAGCCAACCCGATGCGGCCTCCCCCCGCCATCCCTGTCAAAAACAATAACAGGTGTACACTTCACGGCGGCGGCGGCGGCGGCGGCTGCGGCGGCGGCAGCGGCTGCGGCGGCTGCGGCGGTGGCGGCGGCGGTGGCGGCGGCGGCGGCGGGAGCAGCGGCGGCGGCGCGGCGGCGCGGTGGCGGCAGCGGCTGCGGCGGCAGCGGCGCGGCGGCGGGCGACGGCGGCGGGGGCGGCGGCGGGCGGACAGCGGCGGACAGCGGCGGGCGGCGGCGGCGGCGGCGCGGCGGCCGCCGTCGCGGGGGGGGCGGCTGCGGCGGCTGCGGCGGTGGCTGCCGCGGTGGCGGCGGCGGCGGGGGCGGCGGCGGGCGGCGGCGGCGGCGGTGGCGGCTGCGGCGGCAGCGGCTGCGGCGGCGGCGATTCGGCAGCGGGGGCGGCGGCGGCGGCGGCGGCGGCGGCGGCGGCGCGGTGGCAGCGGCGGCGGCGGACAGCTGCGTCGGCGGCGGCGGCGGCGGGCGGCGCGGCGGCGGCGGCGGCGGACAGCGGCGGCGGCGGCGGAGGCGCGGCGGCGGCGGCGCTGGGCGGCGGCGGCAGCGGCGGATTGGCCCCCAGTAGCTGCCCATCCAAAGACGACTGCTGAATCTGCTGCGGCTCGGGCCAGGCTCGGGTGCTACGTATGTGTTGGCAGGGCGGGTGGGACTGAACGAGACGGCGGGGAGGGAGACTCTTGACCCTAACCCCCACCCGAACCCCTAACCCTAACCCCTACCTTAAACCCTAACCCGCCCTAACCCCTAAACCTAACCCTAACCCCTACCCTAACCCTGACCTAACCTCAACCTTAAACCCTCACCCCTAACCCCTAACCCTGACCTTAACCCAAACCCCTAACCTTAAGCCTAAACCCTAACCCTAACCCACAATCCCAACTCTAACTCATACCCTAACCCTAACCCCTATCCTTAACCCCTACCTCAACCCTTAACCCTTACCCCTAATCCTTACCCCGACCCTAAACCCTAACCCTGAACCCTAACCCCAAACCCTAATCCCTAATCCTAATCCTAACCCCTACCTCAACCCTACCCCCTAATCCCGAACACCCTCACCCTAACCCTAACCTCTACCCTAAACCCGAACCCTACCCCTTACGCCTAACCCTAGACCCTAACCTTAACCCTAATCCCGACCCTAAACCCTAACCCTAACCCCGAACCCTAACCCCTACCCTAACCCTAAGCCCTACCTTAATCCTAACCCCTACCTTGACCCTAACCCCTAACCCCGAATACCCTAACCCCTACCCCAAATCCGAACCCAACCACTTACGCCTGACCCTAGCCCCCCCTTGCCTGGCCAAAGGGGGGGGGGGGGCGGGAGAGAGGAGGAGGAGGAGGAGGAGGATGAGGAGGAGGTAGAGGAGCAGGAGGAGCAGGAGGAGGGGGAGGGAAAGGAGGGGGAGGGGGAGGGGGGGGAGGAGGAGGAGGAGGAGGAGGAGGAGGAGGAGGAGGAGGAGGAGGAGGAGGATCAGGAGGATGAGGAGGAGGAGGATGAGGAGGAGGAGGAGGCACCATTGGACCGCCTCGAGCGGACCGACAGGGCCAGGCAACTGCGCAACTCGATACATCTGGGCGGTGGCCGAACTTTCGATCGTCTGGAACAGGGAGGAGGAGGAGGAGGAGTTCAGTTCAGTTCAGTTCGCTCTGGGAAGTCCGAGCCTCGAAAGTGCCGCTACTCTGGACTTCTGAGCGTCGCCTTCGCGACAGTCTACTCTCTCATGGAAACCGTGCTGGCCACCATGCTCCCTCGAGCACCGCTCGCGCAGCCCCTCCAGGGCGACCGCCGTTCGGGCGCGCAGCCCTGGCGGATGCCCCTTGGAGGAGGAGGAGGAGGAGGAGGAGGAGGAGGAAGCTCCCCGAGTATGCCACCTGCAGTCGTCGCGCTGCCGCAGGGGAAGAAAAAAAAACGCGGCAGCAGGCACGACTGGGGGCTCTCCTGGCCACGGCGCGAGCCTCGGCCATACGGACAGGCTCCGCGACCTGGATCTCTGAGGAGCGGCCCGGAGCTCCAGAGCTCCAGAGCTCCAGTCCCTGGTGGTCCGGAGATCGGCGCCTGGACTGCGCACGACAAATCTGATGGGTCTGCTTTCCACTACCACTGCCATAGGTACGAGGGGAAGGGATGGAGGTGGAGAGGAGGAGGAAGAGCAAGAGGAGGAGGAGGAGGAGGAGGAGGAGGAGGAGGAGGAGGAGGAGGAGGAGGAGGAGGAGGAGGAGGAGGAGGAGGAGGAGGAGGGGAGGAGAAGGAGAGGAGGATGAGGAGGATGAGGCAGGAGGAGGAGGAGGAGGAGACCCCCCCTCCTACGGACGTACTTATGGTGGTGGTAATGGACAGCAACCCATCAAAACAGATGATCCCCGACGACGCAGCCCAGCCCCGTGCTGGGCGAGGCGCCCTTCGGAGGGTCGATGCCGAGCGCGACGAAGCGCTCCGGCTGGAGCAGGGGCATCTCGATGACCTCGCGCAGCCTCTCCAGCTGCTCTTTGGCGCCGCCGACGTCGTTGTAGGTGACGTCCGGCTTCTCCTGAGCCCCATTGGAGGGCCGTTGCGCCGTTGCGCCGGAAAGGGCCTCGGATGAAGCGCGATCGCGCCTGATTAAGCGGGTTCAAGCCCAATGAAGCGGCATTGAGCCGGAGTAAGCCGGGTTTCGGACCAGGGCAAAAGCAGAACTTGACCTCCCAGGAGTTGCATCCGAACTTACTGCGGGGGAGTTCGCGAGAAACGACGACGGTCTGCGCCGCAATGGGTCGCCGACCTGCGCTGAGGCCAGCCTCGGCAGCGAGAGCGACCCCGAGGAGAGAGGGCTCCGAGATGCTCCGAGGGCGAGCGCGTGCAGGGTCGGAGTGTTCAAAGGCCGCCGACGTGTGCAAACACACGCGCACACACACACACACACACGCACACACACAGGCACACACACACACTTGTCGGTCGCAAGCCGCTCGTGGGTCCTGCAGGCGCGCGCGAGACCTCTAAGCAGCAAGAGAATACCTGGCCCTGACGCGAGCCGGCCAAGCAGCAAGGGTACGTGCACACATACACACGCATAGGCTCCCGGCACCCGCCTGCCTCCCGCTCGAGGCTCGAACTCTGTGGGAACCGAGGCTCCTTCTGCCGTGTACGGGTTGGACTTCCCTGAGGCGCTGGATATGAGCGCAGGCGTAGACGCATGCCCCCGATAATACAGCGTGCTTTCCCAGTCTTCCCACCAACCTCGTGATTATCTCTGGCCTGGACAAATTTAGTCGGCGGTGGGGAGCGGCGGGTCCCAACTTCATACTCACCAGGGAAAGTACGAATCGCATACTGCGTCGTATCACCAAGAATAGCAGTAGCATCGTCATCAGCAGCATCATCATCAGCAGCATGGTTATTGTTAACAGCATCCTTGCTACCACCGTCGTAGCCCCCCTCCTCATCCTCATATGCATCATTGGTAAGATCATTGGTACCACCATCACCGTCACAATCATCATCGTTGTTAACATCATCATTAGCAGCACGATTACCATCATAAGCATTACTATCATGATCGTTGAAAAAATATCATTGCTACCCTTACCGTCATCATTGACACCATCATCACCATCGCCATCCTTGTTATCATCACTATCCTCATAGTATCATTACTAGCATCGTCCCCATCTGCACTGCTATCATCACCCGCATCAACATTGTTAGCAGTGTTACCATCAGCATTGGAATCATCACCATGGTCATCATACTCATCAGCATTGTTCTCATCATCATCATCGTCAACATCGTCATCATCATCACCATAATCATCGTCATACACATCATCGTCATCATCATTGTCATGATCATCCTTATCCTTAGTGTTAACGTCTCATCGCTGTTGTCAACATTATCATCGTCATCGTCACCACCGCCATTCTCGTTGGCATCATCATCACCAGCAGCATCGTCCGCATTGCTAGCAGTACTATCATCATCTTGTTATCAGTAGTATCAGAATCATTCGTACCATCTTCATTGCAGGGTAGTCGAAGCCAATCTGGCGCCAATCTGGCAGGCCCAATCTGGCAAACGGGGGCAATCTGGCGAGGGAGCCAACGCGAATCCAGTCTGGCGAATAACCCAAATCATCCAGTTTGGCCAGGCCAGATTGGCCCGTGGGGCCCAATCCAATCTGACGGTCTGGCCTTCGACTGCCCAGCATTGTCATCATCATTTGTGTTGACATCGTCCATTTTGTCATCAGGATCATCATCATTCTTACCATCAGCATTGCTACCATTGTTAACACAATATGGTTGCCAGCATCATCATCGACACGACCATCATCATCGTATCAGTATGATCACCAGCATCAACAGCAGCCTCAGCATGCGTGTTATCACGAGCAGTCTCATCGTCATCATCATCAGCATCATCAACACCATCATCATCATCACCATCGTCACCATCATCGTCGTCATCATCAGCGTCATCATCATCATTATCCTCATCGCCACTCTCGTCATCATCATCATCATCATCATCATCATCATTAGTGTTGCAAACACCCTTGATATCATCATCATCATCATCATCATCGCCGTCACCATCATCACCATCATCGTCGTCATCCTCCTCATCATCGTCGTCATCTGTTGTACCAGCTTTACCATCATTGGTACCATCATCATCGTCGACATGGTCATCACTCCTATCGGCATTGCCAGCATCATCATCGGTAGTGTCATCATCATCGTCTTCGTCACCATCATCATCACCATCACCATCATCCTCGTCGCCATCGTCATCATGACCTTTTGTCATCACCTCCTTTCCATCATTATCTGCATCATCGTCATCATCATCATCGTCAGCATCATCGTCGTCATCACCAACATCGTAAACATCATCGTCAATGTTAATACCATCCGTTGAATCATCATCGTCATCATCATCATCATCGTCGCCATCATCATCACCGTGGTCATCATTATCGTCGTCATCATCAGCACCATCCTTGTCATCCCCCTCATCGACAACACCGCCGTCGCCATTTGCAGCATCATCAGCAGCATCATCATCATCATCTGGATAATCACCATCATCGTCATGATGGTCATCATCATCATCGTCACCGTCGTCATCACCGTCATCGTCAACATCGTCATCATCATCAACAACCTCAGCATCACCAGCATTGTTCGAGACTCTTGCACTGTCCGCAATGGCGAGGGTGGGGCACACGAGGGCGTTGGGCCCCGCCGTCAGCATGGCCATCATCATCATCATCACCAGCACCATCAACTTGCCAACACCAACATCATCAGCAGCGTCACCATTTGCACCAGTGTTATCATCATCCTCAAATATATCATCAGCATCAGCATCTTTATTGTCATCAGCATCGCTGTCAATCATCATTTTAATCACCATCGCCATCGACACCATCGCCACCGTCATCAGCATAGTTGCCATCATCTTCATCATCATCATCCACATTATCGTCATCATCAGTATCGCCATCATCATCGTCGTCGCCATCGTCACAGTCATGATCACCAGCATGACCTTCATCATCACCATCACCATCGTCACCATCGCCATCACCATCATCATCGTCAGGACCACCACCATCGTCAACATCAGCATCGGCATATTCACCAGCATCATCCTCATCGTCACTATCAGCATCATAGTCAGCATCGCCATCATCATTAGCATCTGCATCGTCGTCATCGTCGTCATCATCAGCATCAGCATCCCTATCATTGTTCGCGAAGGCGTTGGGCTGCAACTCTGGCTCGGCCTCGGGACCTCCCCCCACACGCCGACCACGGAGAAAGGGCATTTCACAGGCGCTTGCCTTGGGAACATTCGGCGACGCGTTCCGAACCAGGGGGGCTCCCCTCCCATGCCAACCCCCCCCCCTGAACCCCCCCCCCCCCCCCCTCCCAAAGGGGGGGGGGGGGTTCAGCCCCCCCCCCCACACTCGGCGCCGGCGCCAGCGCTGGCGGCCGCCAGCAGCGCCGACGGCGGGGACGCAGCGACGATGACCAGAGGCAGCCCAAGGGGAGGAGGGGAGGGGGAGGGGGGTTGAACCCCCCCCCTTAGCGCGCGGGGGGAGCGGGGGTTTGAACCCCCCCCTGGCGCCTGCGCCGGCGGCGGCGAGCAGCGCCGGCGCTGGCGCCGGCGACGGCGGGGACGCAGCGACGATTACCATCACCACCACCACCACTAACACCACCACCACCGCCTCAACCCACCACCACAACCACCACCAAACCACCACACAACCACCACCACCACAGGCACCACCACCACCACAACCACCACCAGCACCACAACTCACCATCACAACCACCACCACCACAAAAACCCACTACTACAATCTACCACACCATCACCACCACCGACACAACCACCACCACTAATAGCAGCACAACCCACCGCCACCACCACAAACCACCACCACCACCAACGCCACCACCACCACCACCAGCACCACCTCCACGAACCACCACCATCCCCACCACCACCACCACCACCACGACCACAAACCACCACCACACCACCACCTCAGCCACCACAAACACCACCACCACAACCCACCATCACCACCACCACCACACCAACACCACCACCACCGTCGTCCTCGTCGACGCTCCCCGCCGCCGCCCGCCGCCGCAGGCGCCGGCGCCGGCCCATGAAAAGGAAGTCGTCGTCCCCGCCGCCGCCGCCCCGCCGGCGACGCAAGCGCCGGCCCGAGGAGAGGGAAGCAGGGGAGGGAGGGGGGGGGGGGTCGGTTCCAACCCCCCCCCCTCCTCCAAGCGACCACAGAACGCGCTCTTTCCGACCACGGCACCCTCCCTCCTCCCTCCTCCTCCTCCCTCCTCATCTTCCCTCCTCGCTCCTCCGTCTCCTCCTCCTCCTCCTCCTCCTCCTCCTCCTCCTCCTCCTTCTCCTCCTCCTGCTCCTTCTCCTGCTCCTCCTCCTCCTCCTTCTCCTCCTCCTCCTCCTCCTCCTCCTCCTCCTCCCTGTTCCAGACGATCGAAAGTTCGGCCACCGCCCAGATGTATCGAGTTGCGCAGTTGCCTGACCCTGTCGGTCCGCGCGAGGCGGTCCAATGGTGCCGCTGCGGATTGCAACCGCGAGGCCCCGCTCCAGGCAACCCGGGGCAACGAACCACCGGAGCTTCATCAGACTATCGAGAGCTTCGCTGGATACGATGGATGTTGCTCTAAGTTCCCTACGGCAGGTTCGTGTCGCGTCGACGTTGGCGCTGATTCCTGGCACCGCGGGGATCGTTCAACCTTGAACGATCGGCCGTTTCCGCAGCGGCAAATCTTTTAACATCGACCGATTCTGGGTCGCCGGCAGCGTTCATCGTTGAACGCCCGCGGCGAGGTCGCCGCTGGTCAACACGACGCGAACCTACTCTAAGTTCCCTAAGCACCCCAGGCACCTGCCTCCTCACGCCCCCTCTACCCCCCCCCTCCTCTACAGTCATCATGGTCACGGATGGGTCGATCTTCGGCGGCAGCGGGATCTGGATGCGGTACTTGCCTCCGTGAGAGGTGTCCACGCCAACCCGCATGCCCTCGTCGATGTCCGTGGCGGAGACCTTCTCTCCGAGGCCCACGACGAATTTCGCGAACTCACGGATCTTTATGATGTACTTCGTGTCGTCCGTGCCGGGATCGATGATCTTAGTGCACCTCGCCACCTGCAGCGGCTGCTCCTGCTTCATCATCTGCTTGTCGCCCTCCAAATCCCACTGGCTTGGTGGCGCTAGGCCGGTGTCGGACTCCTCTCGGCGACTCCGGAGGGTGTGGTTTGCAAGGGGTGTGGTTTGCAACCGGCGCCCTGGGGGGCACCCTGAGGGGCGGGCGGGGACCTCGACAGAGCTCTCCGCCGCGCCCTGAGGAGGCCCAGCGAGGATACTGTCGTGCTCCCCGGGCCCCAACGGTGCCGATCGCAAACCACACCCCGGCGTAGCCATACCCTTTGTAGCCGCCGATCCTTCACTCCGATGAGCTTGTTAATCTTCCCTATGTAGTCCTTGTTCTCCTGCTCCACCTTCTGGAGCGGCCGCACATAGGGGCCGATGCCGTAGGTGCGCATGATGTCGACGTCGTCCTCGTCGAGCTGCTCCGGCTCCTTTCTCACGAGCGGCGAACGCATCCAAATTCCACGCCCTCGCGGTCTGGATTCCAGGGCGCGGTCCCGTGGATACGCGGTCGACTGGTTAGGAGGCAACTACTGGGAGGTCTTCGCCGGAAGAATTCAAGAAGATACAAAACATTGTTTACGCAGGAGCGGGTCTCGGATTAAGCAAGCTAAACGGGATTAAGCGAGATGACGCCGGATTAAGCGGGATTACGGATGAAGCTGAATTTCGGACCAAGGCAAAATCAGAATTTGACCTCCCAGGAGTTTCTTTCGAAGAATGGACACGTTCAGCGCGGGGCACCCGCGACAACGAAACCTATCCACAAGGGGCCCGGCCAGCGACGCCGCGGATCCGGAAACATCTTTCCAGCCCGTAAGCCTTCTCGTCATCGTCTACATCTTCTCTGGCCTTCCCTTTCGCCATCGTTGCATCCAGCGAGTTCATGGCTGCAACTCGCGTGCGCCTGCAGAGGCCTCCCCAACTTCGGAGCGAACAGGCGGGGTCGGAGGACCGCGCCGCATCGCCGGTGCATCGCCGATGCCTCGCCGATGCGTCGTCGATGCGTCGCCGATGCTTCGGCGCCGTCGGCGTGGACAGCATCGGGCCCCACATCGAGCCGCATCGCCGATGCGGCGCGATCCTCCGACCCCATCTAGTCGGACCCCGTCTTGTGGAGATCTAAAGGTACCGATACCGCTGCTCCAGGGACCTCTCCCAGGGTGCGTTCTGGCCAAGATTCCGAGGCGAAGCCAGCGGTGGCGACGAGGGCCTCCCAGGAGGCCCACAGAGGCGAAAACTAGGCAGGGGTAGAGTTAGGTCGGGCATGTCCTCCTACAGTCGATTTTTGACGAAAAATAAAAAGCACCCCAAACATACACTCCAAGAGCGTCAACAAAGAACCAGTCGAACAAAAGCCGTCCCCAGACTTGGTCTCTTCTTGAGCAGTCCTCCTGTCGAGGTACAGGCCCGACGTAAGGGCCGAGGCATGGGTACCCTTTCCCTCCTCTGCCGTCGCGGGGCCCCGGAGCCTGGACGGCACAGGGGGCGGGGCGCCGGCGAGGGCGTGCGCCGAGCCCTCGGAGTGGGAGCGCCGCGCGGCGCCGCGCGGGCCCCCCCCCCCGAGCGGCCCCGCGGGGGCGGCTCCCGCGCGGGAGGCCCGGCAGCTCGAGCAGCCTGGCCGGCGGGGGCCTTCGCAGCTGCTGCTGCTGCTCGGGAGCGGCGAGCACGTCCACAGCCACGCTCGGGCGCTGCTTCTTGGGGGGCGACCTCCTCCTCCTCCTCCTCCTCCTCCTCCTCCTCCTCGCTCCTCCGCGCGCTCCTCCTCCTCGCTTCTTCTTCTTCTCCTCCTCCCTCCTCCTCCTCCTCCTCCTCCTCCTCCTCCTCCTCCTCCTCCTCTTCCTCCTCTCCATAGCGAGCGGCGAGCATAGCAAGGACGGGTAAGCTTCCCAAGGGCGCCCTTGCGTCCTCAGATTTGTTCGGCAGTGCGCCGCTGGAAAAGCTTCGGCTGGGGCGTCCAATGGCCGTCCAAGGGTCTTGCGTCCTGTATCCGCGTTCGGGCGTTGCTCCTTTTGGGGCGATCAACAAGGAGGGAAGAGGGAGAAACGTGCACCTTTCGCATCCCCTGCCCCATTGGGGGCCCCGTTCGGGCGCCTCCGGGGCAAAAAAGGTGCACCTCACCTCCTCCGCCCAGTCATCGCCCCTCCCCCCATGACGCAACGCTCGGCACGCCCTCGCGGTCTGGACTCTGGAGCGCGATCCCATGGATACGGGGTCGCATGGATGCGTTCCGCGCTGGGCATCCGCAAACAAGACGCCCCGCAACCATGGGGGCGCGGCCTGGGGGCCCGGCCCGCGAGGCAGCGGGTCGGAGGCTGGGGGGGAGATCGGAACGGAATGGACACAGTCGGGGCGTTGACCTAAGGAACCCCAAATAAGGAACGAGGCCCCTCTTTTCCAGAAGCTCAACTGCGATTTCCGATCGGAAACCTAAGGAAAACCTGATGCAAGCTGTGAAACAATGGAGGAACGCGGAGCCCCTCCCCAACGAAAAGGGTTCCTTCTTCAGGGCCCCGACTGTAGGCCCAATGGAAGGTCAGTGTCCGTGTCGTGGTCGTGCCATGACAGCAGGCGAGGCAAAGTTGCGTGCGCGCCGAGGCCACTGCGACGTCAGAGCAGACGACTCCCCTCTGATCGGCGGATTTGGGCCCGCGGTTGTCCCGCGGCAGTCTTGTAGTTGTTCCGATGGTTGCCCCGATGGTTGTAGAGACGGTTGTCCCACGGGTTGATTGGTTGATTGACTTTGGGGAGATCGATGGATACATAGTGACGCCAATCGGCCGATATCTCTACACATGGAATGATCGTGGGATGACTTGGCAAACACTTCGATCGGTAGATCGGTAGCGACGCCGATAGCTATATAATGGCGTCGATATACACACATGGTAAGATCAGGAGGCAAGGGGACAGGCCGAACTATTGAGAATACGATAGGTAGACGTATGCAACAATAGGGGTATCGCTGTATACATATATATATATATGGACCGATAGAAGTTGTCCCGACGGTTGTCCCGATGGTTGCCCCGATGGTTGTCCCGATGGCGATGGCTGTTCCGATGGTTGTCCCGATGGTTGCCCCGATGAGCTTATGATTCATTGATCTTGGGATCGGTCGATAGATAGTGGGGACGATACCCAGATGCATGCATTTCCAGACACATATCTTGATAGAAAGTTCAGAAGGTACATGGTGATACCCATGCACATATGAACAAACTGATTTCAGTAGATGGATCTGACGTTCCTATGATCGTGGGCACGACGTCTCTCTCTCTCTGTATATATAGACATATTGAATTACAGAGGGATGGATCTATCTATATCTACATATATATTGAGTCGGGCAGACATCCATTAAACCATTATACACAACATGTATTAACACACATATGAATAGTGTGATCGATCGATCGACTGGTAGAGGCTGTTCGATGGATGGAGACGGTTGTCTTCTTGTTCTCGTCCTATCCTCTCTGTGATCCTCTCCAACCCAAAACGTCAACGGTCAACCGCCGTCCCGAAGACGTCACAATATCGGTGGACGTGGCGCCAACAAACTGAAACCTTGGAGAAAACTACGAGCAACATTCGTGCCGTGAGGACTCAGCCGATGGCTCCTGACTCCGCGCCGACCGTTCAACAATTAGCGCTGGTGGCTTTCCGACCGCGAGGCGGGGATTTGCCCATACCCACCGCCTGGGAATCCGATCCTCCTGAAGTTCGGGAGGCAGTGGATATTTCGACTACCTACCAGACCACCCTAGCCCTAATCCGAAGACCCGAATTTCGGGTTGGGGAGGGGGTAGCGGGTTCTATAGGTGTTTTCGCCATGCTCCTCGACCCACCCCCCACTGGAAATGGAGGGCAAATTGAAGCCTCCGGGCTGGGTCAAGGTGGTTTTTTGTGGGTGGTGATGTGTGGTGGACTCCGGACACCCGGAATCCCAAAATGTCTTCATCTCCTGGGGACGCATTTTTTGCTTCCGCCACCCTCCACCAGCCTTCCGCAGGCTGCCGCCGGCGGAGGCGGCGGCCTCGGTTTACCGCCGCCGACCTTCCGCCGCCTTCCGCGGCGAAGAGATGGCAACTCCTTCGATCCTCGAACGCAAGGCCATGTTTGGGACGCCTCGTGTGGATGTACCTGGCCCCCCGGGGGCCCACAGCGCAGCCCTCAGGATGACGGCCGATTCCGGGCAACTGGCGGCGCTCAACCACCTTGAAAGCCCATCGCTGGCGCCCCCGCCGCCGCTCGACGAGGCACGAGCCTGCCGCAGCTGAGGCCGCACCCTCGACCCGGCTCCACAAGAGGAAGACAACATCGGACTGCCGCAAATCTGGAACCTCAGAGAGCTGGCGGCTCTGGAAGATGCAGCGAGCGCCGCGGCCGTTCCACAACGTTCCGAAACGCTCTGAGAGCGCTCTAGATCGCTCTGGAACGACTTCCCCGAACTCCGCACGTCGCCAACTTTTCAACAACGTGGACCAGGTCTGGACCCCTTCCCCAGGATGGGTTCTTCCTCCCGAGTAGTTTTCGTTACGCCCTCGGGGCTGGTGAGAGCACCCGTAAACCGAAGACGGCAGGAACCCTCCGCCGCGACTTTTTCACGACGGCAGGAGGTGGCGGTCAGCGTTGTTAAAGCCTCCCAGATGGGGTCCGAAGAGATAGGGTCGGCAGATCGCGCCGCATCGGCGAAGCATCGCCGATGCATCGGCAGTGCATCGGCGACGTGGGGCGATGCATCGGCGACGCTGGCATGGAGAAAATCGGGATCCACATCGAGCCGCCTCGCCGATGCATCCGCGGCGTGGCGCGATCCTCCGACCCCATCTGCTCCGATCCCATCTGGGAGCCCCAGAGCTGTCCCAGCCTCCCGCCCCGCCCAACCCTCACTGCACCGACCTTGCCGACGTGCTGCAGCGGATTTGTGCATGGATTTCTGTCACAGCATAACCCTGAAACGGCAAGCGAAAAACTAAGTACACATCACGTGGATTTGTTATATGCTTCATTCCTGGCCAACAGAAACCACACGAAATTTACTTCGAAATCCGGGGCGATATTCTCCAGGACAGTCCGGGCCCACCCTATGGTTTTCCGAGCGAAATCCGCTCTGCGATGCTGGCGCCATGACACCCCCAGCCCGTCCCGCAGCTCGGAGGCTCCGAGGCCGTGCAGTGGTCCTCCGTGTCGAAAGGGAACCTCGCGCGGGGGGACGGGGGGCGCCCCCCTGGGCGGGGGGGGCGCTCGACTTGGTCGACGGCGGCGGCGGCGACAGCGATTGCGGCGACGGCGGCGCCCTTCCGCCCGAATCTCCGACGACGCGGTTTTTTGTCGGCGCCTGTCGGGCGGGTGGCAGTGGAGGGGTGACCTCATCCATGGGGGGGGGGGGTGAAGAGAAGGACCCTGAGAGGCCCCTGGAGGGCCCCGTTGGGAGCCGACAGGGCCCCCTTGAGGGGCCCTTGTCGCCACCCCTCGTTTAGGGCCCCCGCCCGCCCGAGCCTGTGCCGTGGCCTCGGCGCTCGGAGACCGCTTTCCTGGGCCGCAGGGCCTTCAGGAGCTCATCCGGGGCACGGAGGAGGAGGAGGAGGAGGAGAAGGAGGAGGGAGGAGGAGGAGGAGGAGGAGGAGGAGGAGGAGGAGGAGGAGGAGGAGGAGGAGGAGGAGGGAAGCTGGCCCCGGCGATGATGAGGATTGGCCACCCAGGACCCCCAGGCCCTTGGGGAGCGGACGCGACGCGAGAGGCTAACATTGACTATACCTACCAGACCACCCCAACCCGACCCGAAGACCCGAACTTGACCCGAATGTCGGGTTGGGGGGGGGTACGGATACCATGTGCTTTTTCAGCGTTCCCCGAACCCACCCCCGCTGGAAATGGAAGGCAACTTGAGGGCTTCGGGTTGGGTCGGGGTGGTTTGGTGGGTGGTGAAACATGAAGGATCGTTTTCTTCGGCAGATGCCTCAAACCAAACTGCCCTGATGCATTATCCCCAATGCGAGAACGGGGACCTAAGTGAGGTTACGTCGTCATTGTGCCATGACGGCTACGGGTTTCTTCATCTTCGATGACCAGTGACGCGGTCGGGACTGCAGGGAAAAACAGCTCGGCTGGCGTCAGGGAGCGCAAGGCATGGGCCCCCGGCCTTCCGACGAATATATCCCCGTCGTCGCCATAGCCTTCGTCACCGATCGTCCGTCGTCGTCGCTGCCGTCGTCCGCCGCGTGTCGTCAGTCGTCACCGTCGCGGTCGCCGTCGCCAAAGGCATCGGCGTCGTTGTCGTCGCCATCGCCAGCGTCGTCGACCAGTCCGCGTCTGCCGCGGGCCACCAAAGGCCTCGACCCACATATCCCAAGGAAGGGCAGCGTCCCATAAGCAGTGTGCCTGTGAGGGTCCTACGGTTAGGTCGGGCATGTCCTACTACAGGCTGATGTTGGACGAACAATTAAAATATTCAAAAAATACTCCAAAAAGTCGTCCCCATACTTTTTTTGACTGTTCTTGGATATTCTCCTGTAGGGGGACGCGCCCGACTGCATCCTACGGGCTGCTTCTACGAGATGAACTGCGGAGAAATCTCCAGATCTGGAATCGGTCGGGCGCCTCGGCCTCCGGT